AAAAACCACAGCAAAAACCGGTCTCGCCACAGAGGGCCTCCCCAGTAGGTCCTATGTTTCACCTGTTTCACACGGGCGCTGCACGCAACAGACCATTTTTTGTAATGCTGCAGCATTTCACAGAGTTAGGGGACACCCCGTTTTGGCACCTCCGGGTGCCGAAGGGTGCTGAGATGACCTCCCTTCGGGGAATGCCTTTCGCGCCCTTACCTGCAGGCTTTCGCCGTTCGCTATGACCGCCACCTGCTATATCATCAACTAGTATGCCACTGGACTTGTGAGTGCAACCAGTTGAATGGGTTGTGCCACAAGAAAGGCTTTTTCCACGGCATGAAGCATAGCAACCACTGATCCTTTTGACATGGATACAACCGGCGTAGGAGCATAGCTATGCTCCTGACCTGCATCGTGACCAGGTTTTTGCCACACTGTGCAGTGGCCGCTGGTCACTGGTAATTGGGAAGTAAAGTCCATTTGAAGACTTTTGGAAGTTTTGCTAGAGCATAAACCCGCGCTGCCATGCTCTTCGTTCGAGAATTCAGGCCCATTGATAGAGAATAGTCTTCGTTTCACCTGTTTCACCTTAGCACAGAGGAAAGACTACAAGATGGTGGAGACTCGGCCGGTGGGCTCTGTTTGGCTTGTTTGGTTTGTTGTTGGGTTGTTTTTGTCCTTTTCTCCACCATCTGACTGTTTTTCCTTTCCTTCAAAGATGACCTGGGCACCATGCCCACACGGCGTCCGTACTCGTGGAAAAAACAGGAAGAAAGGACAGCTTGTTGTCTTATGGTCGTCGATTCCATGTACCGGAGGATGTCCGTTTCAATACATTTGTCTCAAGAAGTATGATCAGGATTACATGAAAGAGTCGTATCGAATCCATAAGCTTTGGACAGGTTTTCTACGTTTGTCAGAAGTAGCTGATTTTGTAGCGATTGAATGGCCAAAGCGATGCGCTTATTGAGGATGGAATCAAACGAAAGAGTTTCTGAGAAAGAGAGCTCTATATTCCACCTTCGTTGAAGCGTGTTCAGTCGATTTGATGCAGAAGAGTCAATTGGTCAAGAAGGCTTTGAAAATAGACCCTGATAGTACCCGTTTACTTGAAAGTCTCAAGGTCTGTGTCTGTAATGGTCACCATGATCATTTGCCTTCCAAAGATGTCAATTGGAAAGAGACACGGCATCATCCGAAGAAGCTTTGCGAGCTAATCCTTAAAGGATTTAAAGCCAAATTAACCGTGTAAGAGTCGTGCATTTTTCGAGTCCAGAATGGCACGTTTTTGCAGAAGTTCGTAAGACGAGTCTTCGTAACTTAGATCAGGCATAGGATAAGCACAGCTTTGATATTTCGCTCATACCGTCCTGAGGTATGATGATGGCCCTGGATGTGGGAACAATGCTTGCTGCGCTTAGCTTGGAAGCCGCGGCCGCTATGGTCTTTGCAGCGGGGGTCATTTGTGGCAGCCTGCTGAGCTGCTGCTGTCTGAGTCGGCGTCGTGAGCATGCTGGTTTTCAAGTCGTTTGAAGAAGGAACCTTCTATCACGGTGAGTGATGTACCATTGCCCAAGTCGTTGGGGCAGCGTGAGAAGGTCTATTTCCCAGTGAGTGAGAGCAAGGTTTGTGTGAATCCAACTTGCTCAGGCATGGTAGCGCCAATGTCGAAAGACTTTTGTTCGACATGTTTGTCCTCACTGAAGAAGAATAAGAAGGCGTAATGTCAGCCAGTTGATCCGAACAAACTGTCCAAGAGGGGGTGAAGAAATCCAATTGTTGGATGGCCACCTTGGTCGTGCTTGTTATTTTGTTTCGTTTGTTTGTTTTGTGTTGTTTGGTTCGTGTTCAGAAAAGGAGAGAACCGGACTTTAACACTGCAGTTTGTTTCTTGAAGTTTTGAAAGAGTTCTTTAGCGCTTTCGAGTGTTTAGAAGTTGTTTGTAAACAGTTGCTGTGTGTAGTTTGCATATGTACAGTTGTTCAATGACTGTTACTTTTGGCTCAAGTGTGAGTAAAAGGGCGCGAGGGAGTGCACTGCGTTAGCTTGAGTTGTTGTTTGCTTGGAGAGTTTCGAGAGCGTGAGCACGAGCTTTGGAGTGTACCGGACTCATCGAGTGAGCCTGTTGTGAGCTTAAAGCTCCAGGGAAAATGTAGTTTATCGTAAGGTCTGCTACCAACGTTCTTCGTGGAAAGCCAGCAAGATTTGGAAATTCCAGGTTCGCTGCCTCACAGATGCAACGTCTTGCTTTCTGTGCCTGAACACGCTTCAGCTGGCCGGGCAAGTCACATTCCAGCACTTGCGCACCCAAAAGTGTTCAAAACAGCGTAGGCATGTTCCAGAAGGTTTTGCTTTGAACCATCGCACCACGTCTGCAGGATTGCCGCGTTGCCAAAGACATGGAAAAGTTCTTCTGACAGCTGCCAAGCAGTTTCCTGGTAGAAGCAGTGGCGTGACTTTCAGTCAGCACGGTGGCGACCCTGGAAGAAAGCGTTTGCGTGCATGATGTTCTTGATCCAAAACAATCAAGCTTGCAGATCAACAAGTGGATTTTTTCAGCAATCTGATTGCGGCCTTGCACGCTCACATGACGAACGCTTTGTTGAATTTGACTGTTCCCGAATTGGTTCAAAGGAACGAAAGCACATGTTTCAGTGAAAACCATGAATTTTTAGTTTTTCTGGGCTGTTTGGAGTTGCACTCACAAACTCACATGCTGCAGCGTGTGAATTGCGAGAAATCTGTGGAATTTGCGGATCTTGCGGATGTTGATTTGCTGTTGGTCATGTCGTTTCATGTGGTTTTGATGGTGCAGATGGTGCAGGTTCATTTTGCATGGTGTTGGAATCCTTCACATGGCCGCAAAAAAACGACCTATGGGTGCACGACACATTGAACAATTGTTGACAGGTGATATGCCAACATTATTTTTTGTTGCCACTTTGCAACTGTCAATGCGTGTTGTTGCCTTGACAGGCCACGGTGGTCATTGGTCATCAACAAAAGAAGAAAAACAAATCATTCTGGAAACATCGGTTGCGATGATGGCTTTGGAATTTGTTTTAGTTGTTGGTTGTGTTTTTGTTTTTTACTTTGGCATTTGTTTTGGCATCATGTCTTTGTATGTTTTTGGTGGAAAGTCCCCAGCAGCGAAGTTCTGGTGCCTCTAGGGAGGGTGCTGTTTGTCAAGAGTCTTCCCCCACCCTAAGAAAAGTAGGAATGGCCTGGTAGGTTGACCATGTTTCGGTTTATTTGAAAATGGTCATTTTAAGTCGGGCCCCCCCGGTGCCCACCGCCCACCGCCCAATGTCAGTGCGAGCCCGAGCTTTGGGATCTATTTGTTGGCGCCAGTCCGAGCTGCAGAGCGACCCATGCGATGCCGAAAATCACATCTTCTTCAAACATTCGTCTGTCACACAGCATGCGACTCTTCCAAGGATGATTGGATGAACACGAAGAGCAAAGAACACTGAGAGCAATGGATGAGAACATGTTGAATCGTGGCCATCACCACATGATCGAGAACCCTTTCGAGACCTGCATGGCGCTGGCATCGAATACAGGCGTGTTCAGATTGTTGTTTGGCCCCGAGATCGGGATGGGTCACCAGGTGGGTGGGTCGAACTGAACAGTGGACCTTAGCTGGGTGGCCGGTATTCGCGTGCCAATGGTTGTCGGCTAAAGTTGGAACCAAGGAAGCTCCAACTTGTACGTGGGACAACAAACTGATTTCGGAATTAGATTAGCAACTCCTTGCAGAGGTGTCCAAATTTGGGCCTTTCTAGTATTTTCCTAACTAAATGTACATTGCTACATCTACATACATCTACCAAAGGTCGTGTGTGTGTGTGTGTGTGTGTTTGCTGCTGCTCTACCTTTGCCGCTCAAGCCTGAGGCGATGCCATCGATCGACGAAAACCACTTTCTCCAGTTTGTACCCAAAGAGGCGAGGCTCAGCGCATCCGAACGCTGGCGAGCGCATCCATTCAGACGACCAGTCGTCGGATTTTTCATGGACCCACATCCAGACAGCTTGCTAGAGGCTTGGATGGGTAGTGTCGTAGGATCTTGGAGCATTTTGGGAGGATTGAAGTCAAGATAAGACTTCTTACGGAGACTCCTTTCATGTTCTTGAATCCTTATACCTCGCATTGATCCCCACCTTCACCCACCAATAAGAATGACCATCCCATGGTCCAAGGCATTCATGTTCGCTGCCAGCTCTGCCTGGGCCTCTGAAGCTCTGTCCGGTGAGGTACAGGCAGGACACGGCTCCCTGGAGGACGCCTTCTACCTGCCGGGCTTCCTCTGCAAAGAGCAGGCGCGAAAATGCGCCTGACGTAGCACCCACGAGAGTGGGCTGACTGGCAGTGTGCTGGAGAAGGGATGACATGATGAAATGCTTCCTACATAGAGTAGCGTATCACGTAAGTTGAACTTTCACCACATCTTCTTCATAGCACTTAAAAGTGCAAAAGAAAACCATGCCGCCCCTGAGAGCCAAGACCACTTGAGGGGCCCAGAGATGCATCTCATTCCACACCAGGGCTCGGCATCAGATTCCCTGATTCCTTTTTCGGTCGCAAGTGCAGCTGCCGTGATCTTTTTTCCGGACCGAGACTCGAAAAGACCAGTTTGAAGGGGCTCCCTCGTTTCTGTGCCCCCCTAAGTATCAGGTCGGGATTCGTCGGCCTTGACTGTCAGGACTCATCTCTCTTTCAGCAACTTCAGAAGGACCAGCGGGGATGGGATGGGCTGCAGGTTTGGCATGGTGCTGCATCATGGTGGCATAGTGGAAGTTTCCTTTAAGACTTTGTTGGTACCTTTGTTAGAGTCGAACTGGACTTTTTTTTTGAATACCCAAGATACATTATGAGGATTGGACAGAATCTATGGTTTGGGTTGTTCCCCCCCTTGTTGGTTCAGCATGGAAAAGGCAACTCTCCCCAGAGCATCACGACAGACCTACCACCTACCACCTCCATGACATGAGTTTGGTGGTGGGATTTGTGAGGTCCGTTTCCTCCTCCTCCTCCTCCTCCTGCTTCTTCTTCTTCTTCTTTGCCCTTTTCTCTTCGACTCACCTCTCTGCTGTTGCTTTATTGATCTGCATCCCGGCCGTTCGCCGCGCTCCTTTTGATTCGAGCCTGGACGTCATGGCGCAAGGATGAAGAGCATGAGAAGTCAGCATACATCCAGGATGAGTCAGGTAGGTGTTAGTCTATGAGGTGAAACTGATCTTTTGTTGATGGATCACAAGTTTTTGAGCCTCTTGCTTTTGACATCGATCACCGTTCCCATTTTTGGGTCATCTTCCAAGACTTGATTTAGGGACAACACGTGCGCGTTCTGGACGCCGGTATTTGCCCACGCTCCACCTTGAGTTGTGGCAGGCGGAGGGATTTGCGGGAGCATTGGGTCTTGGGCGCGCGGAGCATTGGGGCTCCCCCCAAGTGCAAGGTCTTTTCTTGGTCATCGTTTGCGGACTTTGGTTTGCATTTTTTTGCCTTTGATGAGTCCTTGAAGCTTCAGAGGTAGGCTGTAGGCTGTAGTCTGTAGCATACATCATAAAGGCCTAGGTCCATTCCGCCATTACACTTGGAGGCTCCCAGTTGAGAAGGGCGTGTTCTTTCTTGTTTGGAGCCCGCGCCAGCTATATAGCTTTTTCCAGTGTGTTTTCGCCAATCGCCTTTGGACCGGGAATATTCGGCCTCAAAAACCGTAGCAGCATATGCTGCCATAACCGTAGCAGCATATGGCAGCATATGCCGTATGACCAAGGGCAGACTCCGTGTCTTGTGCATGATGGGATATGGTGAAAAGTTTTTTTTGTTTTTTAGACCTCTCTCTCTCTACATAATAAAAAAATATAATATATATATATATATGTATATATATATACATATATGAAGGCTAGTTTGTGATGTTCGTGAAGGCCCCATGTTGGAACACGTACTAGCCCATGTTGAAGAGCTATGCCGCAGGGAAGTCGTAGCCATGCCGCAAGTCATGGATGATATCACCAACATCGCAGGCGGGCAACGGCGCTGTCACCGTTCGACGGGGAAAAACCGATCTGGCGGAATTCGGCAGATTGACGTGATTGGTGAATGTGAAGTGTTTGCTGAATTGGTACCCTTCCCGCAGGCAAGATAAACTAGGGCCTTCATTTTTTGAGAATCAAAAAGAACCTGCAGAAGTTCTTGCCACATTATTCTTGAAAAGACCGTGACAAGCTCTTTTCTTCCTTTCTCCAAAAAACAGCTGCTTTCTTTCTTGCGTTCTCTCTGAACAACGCAGATTTCATGGCAGTTGTCTTAGTGGTCTCAGTGCATTTGCTTGCGGCGCACTTCCATCAATCCCATAAGTCCCATCGGGCTGCTTGGTGTTCCGTTTCGTTGAATCCGCTCGGTGTTCGGCAACACGACGAAAGCCTCTGCTTTGACATTCCAGACAAGCCGACTTGTAAAGATATGCAGAAAGTCTTAGCCTGGAAGACTCCCATCCATCGCTGTTCAGGTGGAGGAGCCAAGAAGCAGAGTAGGCAGAAGTTGGAGTTCGAGGGTAAAGAGAACCAGGCTGGAAGTGTCCATGAGGAACATGATGTATGGCTTGTAAATCCAGATACAGCAGGTTTTCACTTGTTTCCCTTTTCTTCGTTTGCGAGAAGGACCTTCTAAAAGTGGGCCAGTGGGAGGAGGGCCCAGGAGAAGGATGGAGAGGGCCCAGGAGGCTGCATCCTGCGGATCTTTTGTTCTTTCCAAGGCTGGGCCTTCAGGGGCCAAGCTAAGCCATGGGCCGGTGAGAATAGGCTTCCTGGATTTCCTCCTTTGGAGCTTCGGGGATCGACTTAGCCTGGCTGGGCCAGGCTGGGTGAATGGAAACACACACCCAAAAGCACACCATGATTGAGAGGGCAGAGATCAGCCATGTAGGGTCCTGGTGGGGGTGGTGGTCGAGATCATCTATGAATGTCCGGCTTCCAGATTTCTCGTTCATCAAGAGCAGCAGCTATCATTTTGGTGGACACTCAAGGGTGCAGGAGCCGCTTCTTTCACCCCGATCGCTCAGACCTGGCTTCTCTTCTTCCGATAGCCAGAGGTGTGCATGGGATTGTATGTGTAAAAACCCCGTGTAGTTCTACTTTCTGTATTAAAACACCCATTTGACCGGTCCTTCTTGCCGTGTGAGAACCGGCCGACCCGGGCTTTAACACGCTCCACCGGGGAGCGGTGTTCGCAGGTGCCCACGGCGCCGATCCAGAAAGACTTGGACTCTTGCGGCCAAGGCGCGAAGGAGCACGAGGTCTACTGGGGTCTGAGTCTACTGAGTCTACTGAGTCTGCAGTGATGAGTTGGTGCAAAGCAAGTACTGCAGCCGAAGAAGGAGGTTCATGCCATCGGTAGAACAAGAACCCGTGTGAGTCCATGAGTGTTCCTTCCTCAGCACTTCATGGATAGTACATAATAATACAGAAGCTTCATACCAACCAGATGAACATATCTGGATATGATACCAACCAGATAATGGAGACCAGCAGTCTGACCAAGCCTTTCTGCAGCCTTTCTACCTCCCAACAACGGCTCGACCGAGGTGCCGCGGACCAAGCTTCTGCACCCAAGCAGCAGCAGCCTGCGAAGCACGAAGTGACGACGCGGAGGGTCGTGGAGACCGGGGAGCCGAAGTCGGAGAAGGCCGGAAGCCGACGGGTCGGTGCGAGCCGATCTTGGGGTCGCTGTTGGATTGGTGGATGGGTGGATGGGCAACAATTGGCCGGCGGTCATGGTGGAAGAGGGGGCTGATGCGATGAGAGGATTCTTTTGTTGGGGGGCGTATTTTCAGGGGATCGGAATTCAGCTGCAGGGCCTGTTCCAGGTGCGACTGAAGTTGGGCTCCTGTTGTGTCGAGAGGAGGGGCTGCCTTTGAGAGGAGGTGCTGCCTTTTGTGGGTGAAGATGTTGGAGAGGTTTCCTGTTCTGAAGGTTTGTCTGGGGTGAGGAAACCTGATCGATTCGTGACCCATTGGGCACGGCGGACCCAATGTGTCAATGGGCACAGAGGATGCACCAGGATCACAAGGCCCCAAGAAACCCAACAAGTTTGCAAGAAAAAAAGGGTGGATTGGATGTCTCAGAACTTCACTCAGAACAAGAGGTGAGATCAAGTCTGAGATTTGGGCAGATCCTGCTACCCTCTGAGGCTCGGGTAGACTCTTCCTGCGTTAGTAGACCGCAGGTCTGGGAGCTGATGCGGGATGCCTCCCGCGATCTGGTGGAGTGTTGGGCTGGGGAAGCTCAGTGTTGGGCCTCCTCTCGAAGCTCCGGGCCGGTGGAGTGTTTTGGTCGATTTGGAGATGCACCTTGGAGGGTTTAGATGGGTTTAGGGGAGGGTCCCCACCAATCCATTCTGCCATTCTGCCAGGAGTCGAAAGTGAATCCCCTGCTTCCCTTCCAGTTAGCCTTCCAGCAGTCATGCCAAGTCGTTGGATGAAAGCAATGATGTGGGTGCGGGTAGATGGACATTGCACTCCCTGAAAACGGCATGGAAGTGGAATATGGCTACTGGAAAGACTATGTTCCTCTACAAACAAGGGGTTGTCCACTGCCATGTTTGTTGGAGGGAGAGTAACCGTTGCAAGAACATGCTACCAAGCGTCGCTTATCTTGGTAAGGGGGCACAAGGATCAGAACGCCCTCTGATCAGACAAAGTCCAGGTTGGCAAGAATGTTCCAGATTTGCACCTCGTTGCGTGGGATGGTGTTTGACAGTTTGACCCTTCAATTTCTCTTTCCGATCCCGACTGGATATGAGTGCGTGCCGCGCGTGGCACTCGCTGGGGCCCACCAGGGGATCAAGATCTAGGATCAGTAAAGACAACCAGACGACCCCTGCTCCGACCAGACGATGCTTGTCCCCGCTCCGACCGGACGATCTGCTGGGGTGTTCTTGCTCGTTGCGTTGCCGTGTTGGAAACAGCGAGTCGGGAGGGACGGATTTCGGACCCGGCAAGGAGTTCAAAGGAGCCAACTTCAGAGTCCCCCAAAGTTCCATAGGTTGGTCTTTCTCGGAATTCGTCGGGTGTTCAGCACATGTCCAGCCCTTTGGTCCATGGCCGTCATTGGTCTTCACCTACCTATGCTACGCGGTGGATGCGGTTGCGCCAGGCGAAGTCGGCCAAGGGGACCTTCCATCCTTGGATGCAGAACTCCTTGGCGTCGCTCGGAACAAGTCATGTGTGAAGCGAGTGGTGGATAATTTAATGAGATCGGGGGAGCACACCTCTGGAGACCACGGGAGCACGGAGCACGGCCCTAGGAGGAAGATGGATGCAAAAAGACGAGTCAACAACCAGTGGTTGGTTGTTTGTTGGCAGAATTGAAGGTTTGGACTGATGGATCGCGATCCCGGAATGGATCCATTCTGGGTCCCAAGAATGGGGCGTCCGGGTTGGGACGAAACAAGGGGGCGCCGCGCCCAGTGAACGATCCTTTTGTGACACAACATGACACAACTCACTTAAAGTTGCACGTGTGCAGGAAGAACTGGAAAGCGCACACTTGCACGCTTGCTAGCGCTGGTTTCTGTTTTATTCATATGTAGTGACCAATGACCAGTGGAATATATAAAACCCATGGACATTTTTGTTGACACCTTTCCAATCAGCACCATTTCCAACAGTTCCTGCCAAGAGTTATTTTTGTCTTTCGAAAACACATGCGGAACACTTTCGCTGAC